GCCAAAATCCGTCTTGCGGAGAATGTAACAATCAATGATGTGGAGTTTGCCTACAAGTAGGTAGCTATATGCTCTAATTATAATATAAAATTATAATGTTCCATGTTCAGTCTATATCGCGAAGCCCTGAAGCAATCAGCAGTTGATCCTGTTACTGGTAAAGTGGATGTTAATATTCTGGCTGCTGGAATGAGTGCTACGAGCAGGAAGATGGTTCAGCAGGTATCGCATCCTTCGCGCTTAGTAATTTTAGTGCTGAAAGACTTTTGTTTAGGTTGCTGATGCGATAGCTAGCCATCTTGACAGCACTAAAGGTGTCAACATTTCTGCGAAGAGCCTCTTTATGGCTCTTAGACAGAAAGATAAGGTTTGTTCCAAGAACTGCGACCTCCGCTTCTCAGCCCACTTTCTATCTTTCTTTGTAGATGTTGAATCGTGACATATTCGACGAGGCATTGAATGAACTGGCCAAGAAGGAGGTGATCGTCAGAACTGGGGAGAGAATTCGTTACTTAACAGTGAAGAACTAATGGGAACATTGTGGATAATACCCCGTTTACCTGAAGCTGATCTCTCTGTCTAACATACCCATTAACTTTGCATCCATCTCGGTAATACACGAAGTTTTTTTTCTTTCTTCAACAAGCTTGATTATCAGTGCTTTACACGTTTCACTTTGTTATATAAAATGAAGTTTATTGGATAAATGATGTATTTAATTGTGATCTACAGAAGTTGAGGGTTCGTGATCCATGATGTGTTTCTATTCATGCTAGAGTAGGAAAATAGAAAGTATATATTTGTGTGTGTATATGTTGAGACCGCTCAAAGCTTTGTTAGCCATAGGGCATCGCAGCATCAGTAAATTTCTTTTTGGCGCTGTTCGCGCGAACTACCCTAAAGTGTTACTTTTGCATGAGAAACCTTTGAGAATCATGTAGAATGACCTCTCTAATCAATTTAACTCTTAAGGCTACTTTCTAACTAGTCGATTACCCAATCCTAGTATCAGTGCTGCGGTTAGTCAAGCAAGTTAGTAATTAGTTAATTAAAAAATATGTACAATAATATTTTTTGGATCTAGCAGGAAATACAATCTGAATGTCAAACCCGTCAGCACAGGTGGACTGCACAGACTTGGCTGCTTTTATGACAAGGCTGGGTGCACTGAGAAAGGTGATTTTATTTTACGGTTATTCCATGGGCTTCAATAAATACTTTACATGAAATCTGATCTGAACATCTTGAAAACTTTCTAAGTTTTATAACGTCAGGATATTCAAATCAATTTTCCAGGTTTAAGTTACTCAACTTAGGAGGG